AAAAAAAAAAAAAAAAAAAAAAAAAAAGGCATCCTTTCGAACCCTCTCACTGACATGATGTGATCTTTCTTTGTTACCCAGAGCCTTTTAAAGCTCCCATGTTCTGCCTTGCATCCTTCTCCTCCTCCATTTCTTTATCTTCTCTGTTAGAAGCTAAATCTCCTGGATGCAGAGACTCGTATTTGTAAGCGTGTTCACCCCAAATGCCAAAATCAGTGTTAAATACGTGGGATATTGGCAAAGGAAAACCACAGTGCGCAATATAATAATAATAAAAAAAACCTGTATTTAATGGATGAAATATACTGACTTGAATATAGAGCACTCTTCTGTTACTGGGTATGAAATTATGTGTGGTGATAATAAAAGTGCATGGGGAAAATGTTGTAGGACCTGTATGTAAACAGGATCTGGAAGCCTTGTATTATGCAGAAGAAAGAGAAAGTAGGAGGGAGAAAAGACTCATTCATTATTATTAACCTTTTGCGTGTGTCTTTGTAAATGCAGTGAAGTTAAATTTTGCAGGATTAGCCTGGGCTAAATGCAAATTACCTAGCTTGAAGTCACCCAAGAGTAGCTTAATTTTAACATGACAATTTTTCAAAATACTATTTTCTTATGTGAGGACCCCAGGGTGTGCGGGATCGTTTTGCAAATGGCATTTCTGTTCTCCCTGTTAGGGCTTTTGTGTGCTAAATGCCTTTGTTTTCTCATGAGACTTTACCAGTGGTCTCATGGCTGGGTGGTGCTACCTCTGCAGTTTTGCCTTTTTATATTTTTTAGCAGAAAGTCTCCTGTATTTTCACAGACCTTTTTACTTTTTCAAAGCTGGACACACCTATGTGAGTGCTTTCTCTGCCGTGTGGGCAGAGGGCTGGAGGAAACACTGCTGTGTAGCCACGTTTTGTCTACTCTGTCACTGAGCCAGTTTTCAGAATGACTTCAGACCATCACCCTGGGGTTCTGCTCACTTAGTTTGTGCCAGATGCTTTCTTAATGTTTTATCACTACCTGCATAATGACATTCAAATATGAAGACTTTGGTTTTACAACCCAGGTTTGGGTTCTTGAGTCAAAACCTCATAAGACTGATTAACTTGCCCTTTTTTCAAATCACTTACTTCACCTAAACTAAATCTGTGAGTTATACCAATGAGTATAAGGATGCTATCCAAGAATTTGGGGGAAGAAATGAGGGATAATTTTGTTTCCATTTTCTTACTCTTTTTTAAAAAGATCTATTTTATTTATTTGAAAGAGAAAGGGAGGGAGGGAGAGGGAGGGAGGGAGGCAGGGAGGGAGGGAGAGAGGTCATCTATCCAGTGGTTCACTTTCCAAAAGGCCACAATGCTGGAGCTGAGCCAATCTGAAGCTAAGAGCCAAGGAGCTTCTTCTGGGTCTCCCATGTGGGTGCAGTGGCCCAAGTCGGGCCACCTTCTACCGCTTTCCCAGGCACATTAGCAGGGAGCTGGATTGGAAGAGGAGCAGCCGGGTCTTCAACTGGTGCCCATATGGGATGCCGCACTGCAGGCTGGGGCATTAACCTGCTGTGCCACAGTGCTGGCCCCTTCTTACTATTTTTAGCATAGAATTATTAATGCTTATATTAATGCAGACACATTTTATTCCATTTTTGCTTCAATGTCATGTTTATTTTCATTTATTTGAAAGGCAGAGAGAGACAAAGACACACAGCTCCCATCCACTGGTTTTCTCCTGAAAACTTACAACAGCCAGGGTGTTAGGCTGTCACAAAACACACCAAACACCGGAGTAAGGGAAAGGGTTTATTGGGGAAACCCAGCAGGCTGGAGGGAAGGGGCAAAGAAGGAGAAAGAGGGAGAAGGAGAGCATAAGAGAGAAAGAGACAGAGAGGAGCTAGCGAGGAGAGAGGAGAGAGAGCAGAGAGAAGAGAGAGTGAGCAGGAGATAGAAGAGAGAAGAGAAAGGAGCAAAGACAAGAGAGAAGAGAGAGGAGACCAGAGGAGGAGGCTAGAGAGAGCCCATGTTCAGGAACAGGTCCTTTTAAAACTTTGCGGGAGGGTGGGCAGGGAAGCAGGAGCAGCGAATCCCATTAGGATGGCAGTGGAGCTTGACACTGGTGGTTGGACCATATGGCCACCTGGCTTCCAGCAATGGCGTTGGGGGCTAGAGCCTAGGATGGTGTCAGGGTATAGATCACGCCATAGATAAGACTGCACCATTTTCCTAACACAGGGCTTGGCCAATCTGAAGCCAGGACCCTGGAATTCCATCTGGGTCTCCCAAATGGGCAGCAGAGACCCAAATACTTGAGCCATCACCTGCTGCCTTCCAGGGTGCACATCAGATTGGAAGCTGAGGAGACAGTACTCGAACTTGATACTCCAGGATGGAATGCAGGCACACCAAATGGCACTTAACTGTTGTGCCAAATGCCCCTGCTTTTCCTCTTTTGATAATTCCTGTATAAATTTTTCAAAAAGTAAACCATTTCACTCTACATTTGGCAGAGCCTTTTTCTTTCTATTAACCCAAGATGCACCTGTTCTGTTGACTTTCTTAGGGTCACTCATACAAATGTAGTGACCTGGAGCTTTGACCAGTTGCATGATCCAAGATAACACTACCCTCATGTTGCAGAAGCTGGGACCCTCAGCAGAGTATTTCAGTTCTCTATATGACTACTTCAGCATCAGAGGCCAGGTATCTTACATGACACTGACAGTAATTCTAAGTAGGGAAGTCCCAGTGTGCACGTACTTTCTAAGCTCTGCTTGTGTTTCATCTGCCCATATTGTTGGTCAAAGTAAGTTACATGGTTAGGTGCAGGGTCAGGGGGAAGGGGACAATGCTGGAGGCTTGATTTATGTAGGACCATTAAGGTAACAGTATATACATTCTGTCAAATGTAACAGTGTGTGGAAAATTATTATTTTTTGACAGGCAGAGTTAGACAGTGAGAGAGAGAGAGAGAGAGAGAGACAAAGAGAAAGGTCTTCCTTTTTCCCTTGGTTCAACCCCCAAGTGGCCGCTATGGCTGATGCGTTGCGGCCCGCGCACTGCACTGATCCGAAGCCAGGAGCCAGGTGCTTCCTCCTGGTCTCCCATGCGGGTGCAGGGCCCAAGCACCTGGGCCATCCTCCACTGCCTTCCTGGGGCCACAGCACAGAGCTGGACTGGAAGAGGAGCAACCGGGACAGAATCTGGCGCCCCAACCGGGACTAGAACCCGGGGTGCTGGTGCCGCAGGCAGAGGATTAGCCTAGTGAGCCCCGGCGCCAGCCTGGAAAATTATTTTTTAATTTAAATTTTAAGTTATTTTTAATAGATTCAAGGTGATTTGTAGACAATTCTAAGAATGTAATGATATTCCCCTTCTTCCCTTCCTCTCACACCCTCTGTCCTTCTCCCTTTGTCTTTTTTAGTTTTTGAGGTAACATTTTAAATTTACATTACAGTAAAAAGCCTTAATAATTCATCAAATAATAAGTTTAACAAGTGAACAGAAAAAGGTCCTAGTTTATATTTATTCACTTATTTATTCACTTATGTATTTATTTATTTTTGAGATTTAAAAGCAAGATTTATTAGAGTCGAGACCTCTAGCCAGGATAGCATGGGAGAGGCTTCCAAGTGATGAAAAACCCAAAGGGGACAAGGGCATGGGGTAAGCATGATTTTGGAAAAAAACAAACAAACAAAACTTAACAATTAGATTGACATTCAGTTACAAGGCGGGGACCAAAGACCTGATTTGCAATTCTTTATCCTGTTTGGCTTGCTCACAATAAAACAAAAGAGCCACACTAGGGTGGGATACCTAATTTGTTTTCAGTAAACTGGGAGCCCTCCCTTGCTATTGCCAGGCACTTTTGACCTTGCTAAGGATAACTTGAGGGGAACAATTTCCACCCTCAACTTCCACTGACTGCCTATTAACCCATCTAACTCCTCACATTCTGCCCCCCCCCCCCACCCCCCGAAGAATGGACCAGTAACTTCTGTTATGGGGACTGGGTGATGATTGCTCTGGTTGCTTCATGCTGAAAAGGGGCATCATTGGAATGAGAGTCAAGTGAGGGTTCTAGCAGGAGGTGGCTTCTCCAGGGGGAGAGCAGTGCCAGCTTGCAGAAACTGCTTCCAGCCGAGATTTCATGTGCATGGCCATCTAGAATTTCACTGTTTCAAGTCTAGAGAAAATGCATTTAACAAGCAGTTTAAATTCACAGGGTCTAAAGCAAAGGACAAAGTCATTATTAGAGGACCTAAGACAGGTGCTATCTAAATCACGAACAAGTTTTCCCATTGAGAAGCAAATAGAAACTGACAAAAGGGGCTTGATAATAATCAGGTGGGTTTAAGGCCTTAGCTATTTGTCTGCTAGTCACATAGTACTAATGCCCAATAGACAAATATAGCTAATGTAAGGCTGCCACAAACCACACCAAATACTGGAGTAAGGGAAAAGGTTTATTGGAGGAAACCCAACAGACCAGAGGGAAAGGGTGAAGAAGGAAAAAGAGGGAGAAGGAGAGTATAAGAGAGAGATCCAGAGAGAGGTCAAGAGACAGAGGGAGACAGAGAGATGGAGAGAAAGAGAGCCACATATTCAGGAACAGATTCTTTTAAAGCTTTGCGGGGGAGGGGGGGTAGGCAGGGAAGTAGGAGCAGCAAATCACATTAGGATGGGGGTTGAGCTTGACGCTGGTGGTTGGGCCATGTGGCCACCTGGCTTCCTGCAAGAGCCTAGGATGGTGTCAAGATGTAGATCACACCATAGATAAGACTGCTCCATTTTACTAACAGCTAGTGGTTACAATATTTAAAAGTGCAGAATTAGAACATAGCAATCATTGCAGAAAATTCTGTTGGACAGTTCTAGTTACTCTGTCTACTCTTTTCCTTGAATCACATCTAGTTCGGTTAGGTCTTCCTGACTTAGTATCTCCATCTCAGGTCTATAACCACATCTTCCATTTCCCAGAGAGGCAATTCATGGCATGCATGATGTTTCAGGACCATGGACAGCGGTACACATGGTTATCCATCCCCTCAAGGTTTTAGTCATGCTGTAAGAAAGGAAGAAACCAAGAATAACTGGTTCCAGTAAGGAATCCAAGACAGTAAATGATGTTGGTACAAGGGTCTTTTACATATGCTAAAAACTTCTCCATAATCCTATAGCTCAATTATATTGACTTTGGCCTCTGCCCATCTCAACTTTGTTCCTAAAGAGAAATATGGATAAGGGAAACTTGGCTGTCATTTAGAATATATCACACACACATACACACAAAAGAATATATCACTAACAAATGCCATGCACATTGATATGGGACAGTAAGGTAGGATTTAAGTATAGAAAATTAGAAGTTTATATTCCTTAAATAAAAGGTTTCTTTGGAAAATAAAAGTGTTAAGCAAGATTAAATTCTGGGCTGCCACTCATTTTATGTAAACACAGAAATGTTATTTAACCTGAGTGCTAATTTTCTGATCTGTAAAATAGCTATAATAATGCTATGATAATAATTTAATAATAATAATACAAATGATAACCTAGTAGACATCCAATACATATTAAATCTTTTTCCATTCTTGGTCTAAGTTGAGCTTCATACTCCCTAATTTGGTCAGCCCTGACGGCACCCCAGGTTCTAGTCCCCGTCGGGGTATGGATTCTGTCCCGGTTGCTCCTCTTCCAGTCCAGCTCTCTGCTGTGGCCCCAGAGTGCAGTGGAGGATGGCTCAAGTCCTTGGGCCCTGCACCTGCATGGGAGACCAGGAGGAAGCACCTGGCTCCTGGCTTCGGATCAGTGCGGTGCGCCGGCCGCAGTGGCCATTGAGGGGTGAACCAATGGAAGAGTCTACTCTTTCTCGTGGTGTCTATACTTAGGGGCTGAGATGACTCAGTAGGTCCTTTTTTATTGTCTGTCCACAGGTAGGGTTTAGTAGAACTATGTAAATTTAGAATTCAGACAAACTTGGGGGTGTCCCAGAGATCTGTGGATGAAATTCCAAATAGTTATCTAGAGTTGGAATATCACAGTAGGTTTTCCTCCTTCCTTCCTCCTCCACTTCCTCTTCTTCCTCCTCCTCTTCTCTCATTTCTTTCTTTAAATCTCCCTTCACTTCTTTGTCTAATTTCCTTTGTCTAATTTCTCTTTTCTTTCTTTCTCTTTTCTTTTCTACCTCCTTCCTCTTTACCTCTTACTCCTCCTTCTTCCTCATTTTCTTCTTTCTTTTACCCTTTCCCTTCTGCTTCTGTGAGAACAGCTGTATGAACAGAATCACAATCTTCTTCACTGGAGCTTAGTGAGTTTTGGCAATGTCATGCTTTTCAAAAATTTCAAATTGTAATGCACTGACCTAGAATATAGGTGGTCATATTATTTTCCAAAGATACCTCTTTTACATAAAATTCTGGTGGTTTAATGTGATTACGTGAAAATGAGTTTGAAATTATGCTTCAGTTCCTAGTGGATATATAATATCCAATATCTACAAGTAGCTACTAGTCCAGAACATTTGCCCCCATCAGTCCTTGTATTATTGTACAGTGGGTACCTACATAGAATAAATCTATGTTTTAACTAACATGAGGCAGAAAACACTCATTTAGAGTAGAAGCCTTTTATGAATTATTATTATGGTATTTGGGAACATTACAAATAGACTAATTTATAGCAGGCATAGCTGTGTTAAAATTGTTATAATGGGAAAATATCGCTTAGTATAAATATGTGTCATGACTAAACCCTATCTGATGTTTTTTGCTTAGGCAAGTGATTGGAAATTCTATTTATGAGCCTATTTACACTTCTATTGTCAAAATGAGTGATTCAGTCTAAGTGAGAGTTTTGCCCATGTTCATTACCATCATTGCCTGCAATTAAATTTAAGTGTTTTTGGGTTGCCACAAATCTTGATTTTCATGGCAAAACACAACTCAATTTTTATGGGCCCCAAATTTCTTACCAATAGTCCAATATTTCCTTAATTAACAATTAACAAAATGTCTAAAAAGATATTTGTGTTTTAATAGATTTTATTAACTACCGAATACATACAAAAGTAATGTATAATATAGGTATAAGTAAAGACAATATGCTAAACCTGAAATATCCACCATCAAGAAACAAAAAATATACACACATTTAAAAAAATTAAGTCTGCTTTTGTAAAGATAATGTATCACGTGGTACAAATTCAACATGTACAAAAGAGTATTCATTAAAAATAATACCATTTTTTCTGTCTCTGGTATGTAAACCACTGCCTTATTCTTTTTATATTCTTGTAGTTTTGCACTATATGGATTAAATGACATTTATTTGGCTTGTTACCTAGTGGTTTATAATTAGTGTTGTCTAAATTTTACTTTTACAATAAATACTGAAATGACAAAAAAGATTGTTATAATCCAGAAGCTGTATTTTAACTGACATATGTGTAAATATATATAATAACATCGAAACAATGGAAGATCTGGATTTAAATCCTCATCAGGGTATCTGCCAGCAATGCAGTTTGGAGAAAAATATCCAACTTCTCTAAAGCCCAGAGTCCTCAAATACAAAGAAGGTAATTCCTCCACTTGCATGAATGTTGTAGGGATTTGGGATACTAGGCAACACCTGGCGCAAAAACAGCCATTTGGTAGAAGGGATTTTATGTTACTCTAATTTCCTTGTCTCTAGGAAAATTTCAGAGAATCTAGTATTATATTAAGAATAATGAATATTAATAGGGAATCTTATTGAATTCTTTTAAATGCAAACATAAGCTTGCATAGGATTATCTTGATTTCATTTCTTGCTTTGAAGATAATTACTTTAAGAGAAATCACTTGATTCTGCAGTATAGCATTTTAAAATAAAAAAGCAATGGAATATGTTAAGCTACCAATTTTCTGAAGTTTCACAATGGGAGGAAATATTTTCCTTTCAAATTTCTTTGAAAACATGATTTTTTTTTACCTGATGTATAACTCACTGTTTCATTTTGATCTGACAAAAATGTACCCTCCAGAGAATTAATTTGAATTTGCTTTGTTTTGACTTAGTATGTTACCTGCTAAAATGACTAGAAGTAAAACCTGGGCTCTAGCATGAGGGGACAAAGTTGTAATTTGATGTGCTTTGTCTTCTGTTATTTTGACATTAACTTATTGTTAAAGAAGAATAAAACCCCAGAAAGTCTTTCTGCTTTGCTTTTATGCCATCAAGCAGAAATAAAATATATTTCACTTGGATTTTCCTAGTTATTGTTTTTATCTCCTTTGTGGAGGTGGAAAACTTTAATAATTTTAGAGGTCTTTGAACTCTATTTCCTTTAGTGTATATATATCATAAAATAGGATGATTATTTAAAATACTGTCTATCTTTCTAATGATTTTATCTTTCTACCCCAGGGCAGTGAAATTTCCCTTCCTCTTTCTTTATACTTATCTTTAATATCAAGCTACAAGCACAACTTGCTCTCCTTTGTACATGCCAAACACAGACAAATTTGTTCACAGTGGAGACTGGTTAATCTTGCTATACAGGTAGATGATTCTTTTTTTCTTAAAGCAACATAAAATAATGAAACATAAAGGAAAACTCGAATAAAATGTACACCTTAATAAGTTAAAAATAACAATTTTTTTCATGGAGTTTCATTAAAAATAACCTTTTTGTGTAGCAGATTTTCAAACACATATTGAGCAGATTGCTCAGGTATATTAATGGGCTTTTGGAGTTAGCTGGTCAGCACAGGAGCAGGGGCATCAATCAAGTTAGTTCACCTTGCCGGTCACATAGGCATGAATGATGGAAAGGCAAATGACATGTAACTGCAGTGTGGCAAAGTGGCTGTGGATATGGAAATGTGTAGGAGGACCACTGAGAGAGTTGTATGAAAGATGAAGTTTTATTTAGGAAAAAAAAAAAATAGGGGCCAGCGCTGTGGTGCAGCAGGTTAATGCCCTGCCCTGAAGCGCCGGCATCCCCATCCCAAATGGGCACCAGTTTGAGACCTGGCTGCTCCACTTCCAGTCCAGCTCTCTGCTATGGCCTGGGAAAGCAGTAGAAGATGGCCCAGGTCCTTGGGCCCCTGCACCCACGTGGGAGACCAGGAAGAAGCTCCTGGCTCCTGGATCCTGGCTCCTGGCTCCTGGCTCCTGGCTTCGGATTGGCCCAGCTCCGGCCCTTACAGCCATCTGAGGAGTGAACCAGTGGGGTGAAAGACTTCTCTCTCTCTCTGTAACTCTGACTTTTAAATAAATAAATAAATCTTTAAAAAATACTGAAATAAACTCCTGCCCAGGTTAAGGCAGGGAACTTTATCACATTCTGGATGCCCTGTGTGCTCCTGTCTTATCACATCCCTCTCTGCCTGGCTGAACTTCATGTCATTGCACTTTACTTCTTCATGGTTTTAATTCCCTTTGTCTTTCAATTAGTAGAGTGCTATCTTTTTCTTTCTATTTTTTTTAATTTATTTTATTTATTTGAAAGAGTTACAGAGAGAGGTAGAGACAGAGAGAGAGGTCTTCCATGTGCTGATTCACTCCCCAGATGGCCGCAACGGCCGGAGTTGCGCTGATCCAAAGCCAGGAGCCAGTAGCTTCTTCCAGGTCTCCCACGTGGGTGCAGGGGCCCAAGGACCTGGGCCATCTTCTACTGCTTTCCCAGGCCATAGCAGAGAGCTGGACTGGAAGTGGAGCAGCCAGGCCTCAAACTGGTGCCCATTTGGGATGGGGATGCCGGTGCTTCAGGCCAGGACATTAACTCACACCACAGAGCCAGCCCCTCTTTCTTTCTTTTTTAAATAAAAGATTTGTTTATTTGGAAGGCAGAGTGAGAATGAGAGAGAGAGAGAGAGAGAGAGAGAGAGATGGATGGATGGAAGGAGAGAGGGAGAGGGGTCTTCCATCTGCTGGTTCACTCTCAAAATGGCCTGGGCAGGGCCAGGTTGAAGCTAAGAGCCAGGAACTCTATTCAGGACTCACCTGAGTTGCAGGAGCACAGGTACTTGGACCATCTTCCACTGCTTTCCCAGGCATATTAGCAGGGAGCCGCTGGGACTTGAACCAGCACTCCAACACTCCAATACGGGATGCC